GTAATACTCTCTCTCTCTCTCTCTCTCTCTCTCTCTCTCTCTCTCAAGATAAGTCCCTTTGACCATTAACTCTATCCCTCTTGTCCCTTTCGCCACTAATTCTCTTATAGTAGCCCATTTGCCATTAAAGGAGTTGTTCAAGGTAGGGTTGAGAATTTACCTGATTAATTTGATCCAAAATTTAGTAATTCAGATAAGATCTGGGTACAGATAGATCCGATCTATATCCATCCCAATTTTTATCAAAAACTAGCCAGTTTAACCCATGAACCGTTTGATTTTGCCAGAGAGCCAGTTGCATTTTATTTTTTAAAATTTGTTTCATCGCTAGTTTTCTAAAATTTTGTAATGGTTGGTTCACCAGGCCGGATCACCGATCTGCTGATCTGGACCAATTTTCTGGAAAGGCGATTTGGATCATTGAACCATGTTTTTAAACATCGTTTTTAAGAAAATACAACTTAGGAAGGCTTATGATAAAATTTTCTTAAATTAAAACTTAACATTAACATTTGTTTTTACTTCTCTTGAATCAATGGAGAAAGCCTCATCCACCCCTAGCCTACACTCGATCGACCAACTCATTTTTGCTGACCTTAATAGGCCGTTTAATTCATAGGCCTTTAGGGCATATTTGGTACGTGAGAAAATACTTCCATTAAAGTATTTTCATGTGAAAAAACTTTTTCATGTGATTAGGTTTGAAATTTTTTTCAAATCAATTGGCTGCCAATTGGTGTGAAAAAATGAGCTATAACTAATTGGTATAAAAAACTCACATACCTAATCAGATGAGAGTGTTTTTCATGTGAAAATACCTTCATGAAGATATTTTTACGAGTATTAGATGCGCCTTTAGAGAAATCAAATTCAATTTTCCTTTTTGGGAGTTCTCATCCAATGAACATTATGGAATTGTAAAAGTTGTGATGGTAAAAATCCCTAAGGACCATCTTTGATATTAAGTACTTCCTTGAATACAAGTTTAATTAATAGGAACCTATCACCTATTTTTTTGATACTTTATCTTTTAATCTTTCTCTACTACTATGCGTACCTCATTTCTATTATTATCATTTTTTGTATACCAAAGTTTATAGCCATCTGTTTTTTTAGTTTTTTCTCCTTTCCATTTATTACACGTGCATATTTGCCTTCATTAAATGCACGTGCATATTTGCCTTCATTAAATGATACTATCTTACCCTTACATTGGTTGTGTCCATATGGTTAATGCAGCATGAATATCCTGGGATGGGCTGTTATGGTTGCCATAGGATCAAATGCGGCTACAAGGTTAGCAAAAGAATTGTTCCAAGTCAAAAATATTCACAAGTATGTCACTTAGAGCTTAATTTTAAATTTGAATGAGGTTTTGGTAAGATCACAGTTTTACTAGGTTAAGGCTGTGTCATGAAAACTCATCGGAAATATCAGATCTGGCACACAGTTTTGCTAGTCTGCTGGGCTGCATCTCAGAGACTTGTCAGTGAAATCAGAACCGGCACTGGAAAACGGTGCAAATCCATTGTTGCTTCTAACTGTGGAATTTGTAGGTCCAAATATGGTGCAAAGTTAGTGGACTTGTGAAGATAATAAATGGAAGATATGAAAAAACTGTTGCAAGATGAATCATGTTTAGGGTTTGGATGACCTTTTTTTTTCACAGCCATGATTGTCAAGGTGGTGATGATTGATTTGCCGGATTCCTGGAGAGATTTGACGTAGCTATGTAGGACTGCGGCTCTTCGAAATACTTTCCCTTAATTTTATACCCCTCTATCTCTTTGTACTGAATTGGGAACTGTAACTCTTTGTGCAGTGTGAGGGTGTCAAATGAATTGGGAGCTGGGCATCCAAGGACTGCAAAGTTTTCAGTGGTGGTAGTGGTGACCACATCTTTCATCTTGGGATTTGTTCTCTCTATGATTTTGTTAGCAACAAAGAATGACTGGCCAAAAGCATTCACAAGCAGTGAGGAAGTTAAAAACCTGGTCTCTGAGCTCACCCCCCTCCTTTGTATTTCCATTGTAGTGAACAATGTACAGCCAGTGTTCTCAGGTTAGCGACATTTACTCCTAAAATTGAGATGCAGCCTTATGTCTTAATTTACAAATACATTTCATAATACCTTCTTTTTACCACTAGCACTTCTTGATAAGACTTATAAAACATATTTGTTTAGTGGAAGTTTCAGTTTCAGAAGCCAAAACCTTAGGGCATCTCGACTACATAGAGGGGCGTGGAAGGGGCAGCTGTAGCTTCTATTCTTCTTCCCCCCCTTTTGGAACCGAATGGGGGAAAACTGGAAGCCGCTCCTTCTGTTGCCCTCCACGGAACCGAAACATTCAGAGTTTTTGACTTCCAAAGCCGAAATCTCCCCCAAACAAACACACCCATAAAGAAAAACCATCAAATTATTGATAACCTCCACACTAGTAAAGGAAGTTCATCGCCTATTTTATGGTGAAATTTAGATGAAATTGCATCTCATAGTTTATACAATAAATCACACCATTCCTTTTTTTTTTTTTTTTCTTTACAGGGGTGGCCATTGGAGCTGGGTGGCAAGGTCTGGTGGCTTATGTGAACATTGGATGCTATTACATTTTTGGCATTCCTCTGGGTCTCCTCTTGGGCTACAAGCTTGACTTTGGAGTCAAAGTATGACACTCTATCCCAAAACAAAATTTCATTGATTTCAAGATATCCTTTTCCTAAACTATTTTAAGGGTTTGTTTCAATCACCTAATTATCAAAATTAACTTGGCCAATCAGGGAATTTGGAATGGGATGCTTGCCGGGACTGTGGTGCAAACGCTAATTCTCATTTGGATGACAGACAGAACAAATTGGAACAAAGAGGTATATTACTTTGTTTCCTTATGTTATTTTAATAATCTCGATTAAGGAAAGGTTTCTATACTTCCCTTGTATAGAAGATATACACTTCCCCACCTATCCATCTGTCCTGATCGTTTGATCTAGAACCGACGTCTCAGAGTATTTTATTTTTATTTTTTTATAAATTAATTAAATATAAAATTTGGTACATGCCACTATCTCATTGGGGTACACCTAAAAATAATATTTAAAAAATATTTTAAATAAAATACAATGATCAAAAGATCCCTAAAACCTTCAAGGGCATTTTGGTAGTTTTATTTTATTGGGAATATTAGTTTTATAGTTTTTACAGCTGCGAGTTTAAAAGAGGGGTGGACGCAAAAAATTTGGTGTCAAAGTTCTTTGTAGAAAAGAAACTAAACATAAAACAGTGTAGATGTGTGACATTGTAATTGGCACCATCTCAGCCATGCATTCAGAATGGACGGTTGGATAAGGGGAAACATGTAAGTTTTATACAGTAGGGAAAGTATAGAAAGCTTGTTTTTTTTTCGACGGATAAAACCACTTTGAGATTTTATTTACTTGTTAGTTGAGAAAGAATTGTGCTAACGTGTTGTATGCTCCTAATGTTTTGGTGCAGGCATCCATTGCTGGGGACAGGTTAAAGCATTGGGGAGGAGAAGTTGCGAAGGCTAATGATGCATAGAAGTAGCAGTAACTCGATCTTCTTTTACTTGCTTTGTGCAAGATTGTTTTCCATTTACTTTGGCTTCCATCACTGGAAGCTTTTGCTAGCATCAATTGGATCAAAAGAAAGAGAAGAATAATGAGTGAAAAAAAAATGCTATCCACCATTTCTTTTCTCAAAAATTTAAATAATAAAGAGACAAATCTAGGGATCTATGTTGGTCTAATTGTAATTTCTAAAGAGGTCTTCAGATGAGAGAGAGAGAGAGAATTGCTCGATTGCAACAAAAAAGAGAGAGAACCGCTCGATTGCTCTTCATTGCGGTAAGCCCCTCAACTACAATAAATCCTCTCCCTCAAAATCAAATTGTGTATTACTAACTAATAAATCAGAAAAGTGTAAAAGAAATACCAAGAGAAGCAAATAAAAAAACAAAAAAAAAAACAAAAAAAACAAAAACAAAACAAGAGCACAACAAGTAATAAACCACAGTCCAAATAATTGGAAAGAAAAAGATTTGATTATCATGAAAGAATTCCTAGAGTTGTGTAAATACATGAGTTACGTCTCACTCAAGAAAGCCTCGCAGATTTTTATTTCCACTAAAATTAAAGAATCATCGGACTAATCTTATGTTGGAAATCAATTGGGTGAAAAGGGGGTAAAAAGATAGAATGTATTAGGCAAAAATTAAGTAAAAATTCTTCTTATTTTGCGGCACGCAGAGTACTTTTCCAAGACGATATTTGCCCTCCTTCGATACTGTACATGGGATGTATATGGAGAGCAATTCATCCTAAGGATATAAGAAAACAAAAGGTCCCTTGTTGCACTTCTAAGTTCTATGCACACTAACCAAAAGCCTATTGTGCACAACACCATCGTCTGAAAGAGAGGAAAACACGAGTAAAGAGAGGGATCAATGCTCAAGCTTTTTGGAAATTCGTAGTGAGAATGATGTACGAAAGTGTATATCCCGAATGGGTAAAAGGATCTATTACATATAGTTTTAAGAGGCTACGTATTTACTGTTGAAAATGTTACATGCATTAAAAAACGTAACGTCCTTAATCTTAACAGCTATGATGCAAAGTGGGCCATCAAACGCGCCTGTCCCCTCGCATGTATACACTTCATGTACTCCACACATGTACTATCATCTTTGTTCTAAGAACATAAATATGAGAATACCCATACTTAAATACTACTCAATCTACACTCTTCTATTTATTGTCGGACTAAAAACCCACACCTTTCTCTCTTTACAAAATAAATCTTAGGAAAACCACACCAAACATATTGTTATTTTGAAATGCATACAAGTATTTTTACAAAACCAAAAAATACTAACATCTTCTTTCTCTCTCTCTCTCACGCACACACACTAGAAGCCCATTACATACTTGAAAGCAGTAGCAATAGTGGTAGAAAACAATTTCTTAACAGCGGTAGGGTAGACAATTAATCCATTGCATTTTATTTTTTTATTTTTATTGTTTGCTATCATGGTTTCTACTTTTTTTTTGTTATCAAAATTTGTCTTTGTGTGTGTTTTTTTGATGTTGTGGACATGTTGTTGCGATGAATGGAATATGAGTTAGGTTCCAATTTGACCGGCCCATTCCGAGTTGGACCACCAAAACCGAATCGACCAATGCCCAAAAATGTAATAATGAAGTTTTTATGTATGATATAATTAAATATAAGTAAAACTAATTCAATAAATGATATAATTGAAAAGAAAAAAAAACATAATAATAAAGTTTTTGGTCTTTGGTTTAACCCATATGTAAGCATAACGCATAAGAGAAAAATATCCATATATTGTGTATTCACATTATTGTTTCTGATTTATTTTTATCAAATAAGTTTACCTTCTCTCCATAATTACGTGAAGATAGATCTATTAGAATCTCTCTCTATAATAAAAAAGTCCTTTTAAATTATTATTTTAAAATAAAACTTTAGTTTTTAATTAATAATTAATTTCACGTAATGTCGGTGAAGAATGAAAACCTTGCCCTAACCCTATTAATAACTCCCGACAGAGAGAACTACGTTTCATGTTTCAAGTGTGTGGATATATTATTGTTCCTCTCAATGGTTTAAAAAACGGATCGGTGATCCGGATCGAGCACCCAAAAAACAGATCCGGATCGGCGAATTGACGATCCGGATCGGCGAATTGACGATCCGGATCGGGAATCGGGTGAATCAGTCAGAATAAAGCTTCAAAAACATTCGAAAAAATTATTAAAATTCATTATAAATATTGTTTTTTAGGAATTCAATAAGAAATGAGGGTCCTCCATTAAGAATTTTCATGTTTTGGCATGAATATGCGAATATTGATATGTTCTTTCCCTCCATGAACTACTATTCAGCATTTAATTTCATCACACAAAAAGATAAACATAGAATTATCATGGAATAAGTATATCAACATACATGGACTACACTAAAGTATAAAATTAGTAACATACGATCTAAAAATAAAATGATAGACGACGTTATTGTTCTTTTTGGTTACGCTGGTGCCATTGATTGAATTCGTTTGACAATTCATTGATTCGATCTAAAAACGAATCATCGATATTAGCAGGCGTCTGACTATTCCCAAATCCCTGAGTGTTAGTGTTTTGTTGTGTTTTCAATCCAAAAATCCCCGAAGCTTGTCCATCCTTC